TTTTTTTTTCTTTGAGTGTTTTGGAAACCGCCTGGGGCAAAATGGTCCAAGAGGGGTAAGTAGTAAAAGGGAGACGGTGTTTAGTGATTCATTATATTGGTAGGATCAAGAAAGCATATATCTTCATATTTAGGATGAGTCTTTATTTGGTAATATATTGGTATATTGACGTATGATATTTTTAACTTATATAAAGATGGTAATATGCTTATTTGTCAATTACACCAGTTTAAATAATATTATTAATTAATAATCCATATATTGGTAAGTCGTATAAGCCTATATCTTCGAAATTCACGGACCATTTACGAGTGATAGATTTGGTATGATTTCATAGATTCATGATCTTGGTTGAATACTATCCATATTACATTATTAGCATCTACATCATATAACTGGTTTGGTCTTGATTTTACAAATAATTGAAGTGCATATAAGCTAAAAATTATTTATTAATTAATATAAACATATTACCATTTTCATGTAAGTTCAAAATTATTTATTAATTAATATAGATATATTATCGTGTGATGTGATTATAAAACAGTGAATAAGATTAACAACATGATCGAAATGCATAAGACATATTTTACATGTACTCAACAAAGTTTCCAAAAAATGGCTCCCCACTTTGTGGCGATCAGAAAAATTGACATACTAATTGCCACAACAGGCATTGAAACTTCGTCTAATTATGATGTACGAAAAGGTTACAACCCATGGAGAAAATGTGATTCACATTATTGAGTGCATTCTTCATAATCCCGAGGTGCGTTCCAATATTAGTTCATATAATGTGCTATTCTATGATTTTATAATGACTTTATTTATTGTGTAATTTTACGACGTGTTAATCTTATCAAGGCTCCTCTCGAAGTGGTTCGTGTGATGTGATATGAACATATTACCATCTTTGCATGTGATGTGATTATGTAACATTGAATATGTTGTCTTTGAACTATATGTGATATGTTCTCTCCTTTTAATTCACAAATACCTTTCAAATTTACGTGGCATCAATTACCACTTGTGAATTCCTATGTGATGACTGATGAATATAAAAATGAGTCAATGACTATAAGTAACATACACGTCGATTTATTATTTTTCAATAAATGAAAAACCCATTTTGTGATATTATACGCGTAAGCAGTGATCGTGGTAGAAAAATATTAGTTTGTGAATATTACTGCGATCAGTCATACCATCAATCTATTTATAATGAGATTTTTAATAATATTGAAGTAAATATCTTGTTCTTTTCAATGGAATTGCAAAAATATAAATTTTTTAATAATTAATAACTTGCAAAAATAATTGTTATTGAACCGTATTCCCCATGCATCGCACGGATTTAACACTAGTTTCGGTAAAAAAATCAAAACTTAAAAAAAAAAAAAAAAGTAAAGCACATAGACCCATAGAACTTGCCTTTGCTCTCATCACAAGCTACACGCACCAGCACCGATAATATGGGCCCACTTTACTTCACAGTCCATTAATTACTACATTCAACCCAAATGGGCCCATTAAAACCTACAATTTCAGTCATCTTTTTTTCCCTCCAAAAGATATCAGAATATCGCCCCCCACCTAAAGTTCTCTGCACCAGCACCGCACCCAATAACTAACACCAAAATTGAGACTCGACTCGACTCGACTCGAGCCATATTTGTTTTCATTTTTTTTTTTCCCAAAAGAGAAAATAAATGCACTGTACTTACCAATTTCCTCCCAAACCAATTCATTCATTCAGACAGATAAAAGCCCACAATCTCTCTCTCTCTCTCTCTCTCTCTCTCTCTCTCTCTCTCTCCTAAAAATTCCTTTCCTTTTAGTTTTCGCATTTCCCCTGAAAAAATAAAATAAAATAAAAAGAAGGTTCTGCAGAAAAAACCCCAAATGGCGTGAGAGGGTTTTACTTTTACAAAAGGGTTTATGGTCTGTTCCGAATTTTCAAGGTACGCCTCCATTTTTTGTATATTTGTTCCCATTTTTCAATTTTTTTTTTTTTTTAAATTTAAATTTATATACACCTCCCTTTGAATTTAAAAGTCTGATTTTTTTTTTATTTTATTTTTTTTTTCTGTGGATTTATGCAATTTCCTTCGGCTGCATGCATGTTTGGTTGCAGAGTTGAAATGGGTTTTCAAGATTTTTAATATTTTTCTTTCATTTTGTGTTTTATTCCTTTTTAATATAATTTTATTTTATTTTTTGCATTTTTTTGTTCCTTTTCTTGGATTATTCGCGCAGCCATTGTAGCCAATGGCCTAGGTTTTTCGAAGGTTGAGGAAATAGTTGCCGTTGTTGTACGATGCGACTCGTGTGATACGACGTCGTACAAAATTAGGGCGGAAAAAGATTACCTACTTTTTTTTAATTTTTAATTTTTTTTGTACCACTATATAATAATTTCAATTATCCGTAATAAAAGATTCCATTAAATATCCTCACGAGAGTCCTATTACCTCTGCAAGATTTTTTTAACGTGTGTCAATTTTCCTGAAGAAATTTGCTTTGGTTTGGTCTTAAAAGTGTTTTAAAATTAGTAAAATTTCATGAAGAAAGAACGAGTCATATTAAAATTCGGCATGTTTTTCTTTAGTGACATAACAAAATTGTGATTGGATAAAATTTCAAACGTGACATTTCCTAAATAATGTTGAAATAAATCTAACCCCAGAATCAAGTAGGATAAAAATCAATTAAATATAATCTCATCATATTTAATGTCCATTTATTTTACCTTTTTTTTTTCCCCTAAAATTACACAATTTTCTTGAACTACAAAGTTGTTCTTGATTCTGGGCTAAGGAACATAAAGATATCATCTTTTTTGTTTCTTCTTTCTCACATATTGCAGCATATTTTGCACTACTGAAGTTTGAAATCAAATAAGTATTTGGGCCCTGTTTGTGTGTATATTATTCTCAGAATATGGATAAAGTGGAGCCTTATGATTGCTGGGAGGGCGTGGTGAATGGGTGTCTAGATGACAAAGATTTGGACAATATACTAAGTATATTGGATTTTCCGGTCGAGGGTTTTGAAGGAGATGATGGGTTTACTGGGGAATGGGATGCCAGCAAGTCGCACTGTCTCGGGCCTATACCGCCTGACGTGCTGACCAGTACGGGCCCCCCGGTTTTACCGCCTGTGCCAACTGCCGACGTGAGTTTTTTTTTTTTTGTTAGTAACTCTTGGTTCTGGTTTGATTTTCTTTTGAATTATGAGTGATGGTTATATTCATATTCATGTATAGAGTGTTTGATGTTAAAACGAATAAACAATATATTCCTTGAATAGGAAAAAGAACATCAACTTTTGGTTGAGTAGATGAACATGATTCACAAAGTGAACTGTAATAATACTTAAAAGCAGATGTGGTTTGTCAAAGTTACAGAATTTTCTGTCTTTATGAGTGCAAAATATCAAGGAAACGAAAGCTGATCGTGGCTCAACTATGTTAATGTGTCGATAAATCATGCCTTCTCATGTTTTATTTGATAATATGTTGTGAAAGTTGCAGTATTGCTGGATTTGTCGGTTAGACATGGGTAGTTTCAATTACATTTCACAATAGCTGCATTTTGTCTCTTAAATTGGATTATTTCTATCCAATTGTTTTACTATCTAGGATTACAGCAGCCAATCCACTAAACAATACGAAATTTAGGGTCTTAGGAAAAAAGAAAGCCGTTAATGATATGTTCGTTGGCATTTTAATCGGAAAAAAACAGAAAGGCTGATGTTTGATACATTGATTGTTGGCTCTATGCGCTTAATTTATCGGTGTGGTAGGTTGGGGTGCCATTCTTTTTTTCTTTTTTCTTTCTTAATTTCCTTATGCCTTTACATCTGACACGTGGTTTTGTGTGAGGTTGCATATTGTTATTTACATGACGTGATTGTGTACTTGAAAAAGAAATTTTTAACTCGGAGCAGTTACAACTAGATGCGAAGTAATTGATAAAATGTAGGCCAAATTGCAGTAACAAGTTATCGAGTGATACATCTACTAGGTAGATAGATCTCTGTCTGCTAGCAGAAACTTGGTCCAAAGATGAGTACTCGTTGCAATTGGAAACAAATTTTAAGTAACCTTATTTGTCTATTTATCTTTGATACAACATCTTTCCTGCACTTCATATCAAATAGAGATTGAGATTCGGAACTTTTGCTATGATGCTTTTATGTGAATTAACATTATGCATTTTTTCTTTTGTATTTATTTGTCTTAGAGTTACTCTTTTGGACATGTTACACATTCAAGTAGTGATCAAACATAAACATGATGTCCCGATAATCATTATAATTCAGTGTGTTTTCTTTTAGTATTCTTATAATTATTGTTATTTTTTTTTTT